CCCATAAAAAACAGCACTGAAACAAGATGGCTCCATCACGTTTTGCATCTGACAGATTTTTATTTGTCCATCCTGCCGAAGTTTATTAAACGGTTAGAGCTCATTATTCTCAGAATTCTCATATTAAATTAAAGAATTGGATTTAGTAATTACTGGGTTATTTATAGTCTTGTATAAGATGAAACTCACTCATTTAGGCCATGCTGTTACATCGGTGGAATACTTTATTGTAAATGGTAAATAATACAGATACGCACATGGGGGCCTACATATTGGAGCTATAGTCAAAATTATGGGGTTTCGTATTGTTTAACTTAAATATTGGGCATCATACTCTTTTTAGGGGAACTTGGATACATGTATTAGTGTGACTTAGATACACCTAAGTGCAAGTTATAATTGAGGTCGAAGTAAACATTGGGTGCATGTATATTTACGTATGTAATGTATGTTCAAAGTGGGCACACATAGGGCCTACATGTATTATTATCACCTAGACGTCGGATGTACTGTACTCTTGATTTATTTTTTATATGTTTGATTTTAATTTTATTTTAGTCAATCTGTGCCTGTGCATCAAGCTGTATACATGAACAAGAAGAGAAGCATTACACATCTGGATCTGAAGTGCACACTGTACATGTACAGCATTGCGTGTGTATCCTTTGGCAGATCCAATTGCAATAAGCATATTATAGCAACCTTTACTCACAAGTATTTTCAGTGACTAAATTTTGGGTAAATAATTTATGCAGACAAACCCCTTGAATCTAGTCACGTCCCCCTGGAAGGAATGGACGCCAGAGCAAAACGGCCTCAGAAAAGTCGAAATTACTAAATAACCACACTTTTCAATTTAATTTATCAAAAAAGGATGCAAGTAACTTTCATACGCCAAAGAAGAGTGGAAGGTGCACAATTCATAAGGTGCATCCGGAAAAAAAATCACTGCATGAACCTTTTAAGAAAATATTATTTTCCAAAATTTCTCAAATTCACTTCAATAGCAAGACTACAGATGTGCCAAAAGCCCCTCACCAAAAAATGCAGTGTCGTTTTTGGCTTTTGCTTGCCCTCACGCCGTGGCAAAGAGGTACAACTAGCCTATCCGTATGACTTTGTTTTGTTGAGCATTTTGATCAGCACCTCTGCGTACGAATGACACGTGTGCACTGAACATACATAATAGATTAGAACAGCAAATAATTTGCCTTTTTCAACACTCTGTGGGAATAGACTTTCACTAATAAATTCATAATTATAAACGTGTGCTCACAAATGGCCTTGACGGCAAGTAGTGTAAGCGGGCCATTGAAAATGTACAAGGGTGCGATTTTGATGATCATTTTATCTCAGATTTTCCAGCTTTAGTCATTTTTTTCTTCAGAATATCCCATTAATTCGTTTTTATTATTAGTTTCTAATCTGAGCTGGACTTTTTGTGCTCTGTAAAAAGACCGTATGATCGTGATTTTTCCTATGCGCACAAGACCACTGTTTCTTAGCATGGCTCCCTTCCATCATAAGTAGTAATTACATCGTCAGTGTTCTTGAGCCACTCTGTGCATTTGTAAACTCGTAGCGTATGTTTAATGTAGTAGGCTTGTACATGTTTTGTACATGTACGCACATAGCTTACCATTGCCATTGAACCTCGTCATAGCCGTAACCAAAACAAATGTTACCCAGTTGTTGAGCTTGGGGTTGAACGACAAGACAAAGTTCAGATTTCCCAATAAGAAAGGGATGTGGGGGACTTTGAATTTGGGGACCCCAAGGTTTTGTCATTTTAATCTGTGCAAAGCTGGTCATTCCCCCTCCAAAAAGGGTAAGGATGTCTGAACTGCGCTGACCATATTTTTTGGAAATTTTATATTGTAAATTGTAAGAAAAGGTTACTTTCTTACTGATAAACCAGCCGTGCAAATTTGATTCCACCATTTGTCATGTGTTGAAACACTCACAGTTTCCCCTCATAATTTCCCTCCAGACTTAAAACCCTACCCTCTTTTCACATCAACCTTAACGTTAGAGATATTGAGCATGATGTCATAGTCATCTACCTAGAGGAATCCAAACGTTAAAATGTAGGTCTAACTTCTGTTATAGGAAGAGGGTCCCCAAATTCAGTCCCCGGGATCTGGTTGTTCAGATTTCCCAAGTCACTACAAGTGCAGAAAGCAGCGAAGCTATGTATTTTCTTGTACGTTGATCATCATTACGCTACGTGTTTACAAATGCACAGGTTGGCTCCAAGAACACTGACGATGTAATTTATACTACTTAATGGAAGGGTGCCATACTAAGAAACGGGGGTCTCGTGCACACAGGAAAAAATCACTATTACAAAGTCTCTTTGAGCACTAAAAATCCTTCTTATATTAGAAACTAATTGAAAAAAAACGGTTTAATGGGATTTTCTGAAGAAAAAATGAACAAAGCCAGAAAACCTAAGGG